TGTTGTTTACTGAACTGTTGTTTACTGAACTGTTGTTTACTGAACTGTTGTTTACTGAAATGTTGTTTACTGAACTGTTGTTTACTGAAATGTTGTTTACTGAACTGTTGTTTACTGAACTGTTGTTTATTGAACTGTTGTTTACTGAACTGTTGTTTACTGAAATGTTGTTTACTGAAATGTTGTTTACTGAACTGTTGTTTACTGAACTGTTGTTTACTGAACTGTTGTTTACTGAACTGTTGTTTACTGAACTGTTGTTTACTGAAATGTTCTGAGACAAACTTTAATGAGTGAAACAACAAAACAAGATTTAGTCGAAGGAAAGTTGCACAATCCAGCTGTAAAATAAGTTCCAACATGTTGCAGTAGTTCATCTCAAGCCCAACGTAGAAAGATGGATCAGATTGAGCATCAGGAGATCAGATTAATGACCGTACCTCCAGGACGGCTCTGTGCCTGCTCTCTGTAGGAAACGTGACGGGGGCTGACGAAACAAAGAGCCTTCTGAAAATGTTTTTTATTAATCGCCTGTTTTTTATTAATTGCCTGCAAGTTTCATGTAAGAATGATCAAATATTTAGTCATGAAGCTCAAGAAATGTCTAAGAAACAGAACAACAACAAAAAATCACAGAATGGTTGCAAATATGGTGCATGAGAGCTTTCTATCAGTAAAACAAACCTTTAATCTGCTAAACATTTTAAGATGTAACCCCCCCCCCCCACACACACACACTCACACACACACTCAAACAACAAAAACAAGCCGTAGGAATGACGGGACACTCACGTTTAACCTTCCACATGTTTCCTGCTCAGCTTCAGACGACTCATTGTTGTCTGCACAACAAAAGCTCTAAGAATAGATTTGTTGGTCCTGCAGGGGTCCAGTTACCGTCCATGTTGGTCCTGCAGGGGTCCAGTTACCGTCCATGTTGGTCCTGCAGGGGTCCAGTTACCGTCCATGTTGGTCCTGCAGGGGTCCAGTTACCGTCCATGTTCCATCCTTTTTATATGCAGGGCTGGTTGTGCTGCTGTGACGTTCATGTCATCAGTTCGCATCAAACTTCTGTTCATAACGAACCTTTAACCTGGTCGAGTGTATATTAGAAAGTTTATTGTTTCCCCCGACTGTTACGTTTAGGTCATCTGCATCATCGTTTTTAAACTACGACGTAAGTCGTCCACAAAAATGTTACATCAGGTCATCCGGGCAGATTCTTCTCGGTTGAAACGTTTCGTCTTTCATCTGAAAGTCTTGCATCAGACTGAGGCCCGCCAACAAACTCTGTCGTATAAATAGCACCTTATAGACGTGGTTCAACCCAGGCCTTAAATTAACTTAAATTTACACTGTCAAACAAAGCTGCAGTGTGGGAATGAAGGAAAGGAAGAAGGAAACTCGACAGAAATGTAGACCACCCCCCCATGGGCACAGAAATGAAAGAGCTGCAATACTCAGATTTCAAGACAAGATTCGACATGGCCCACATACGTCACAGAGCTAGAAGGAGTTTGTAGCTCAGTCATCCAGGTCGATACAGAAACGTTTCATGACCTCTGGACACGTTTCTTTTAGTTTCTCCCTAAAAGAAACGTGTCCAGAGGTCATGATTTAAACTTTTTTTGTGTCACAGCTATTTTCCCAAATCAGAATCAGAACGTTTTTATTGTCCTTGCACTGTGAAGTTCAATGAAATGACTTTGTGTACAGTCGTCCTAAAGATGGACAGAAGTGTACGGGGCCTGCAGCTTCTAAGATGCGCAGCTCCTGGTGCTTACGTAAGGAAAGAGGAAGAACACGAGGAAGAACATGAGGAAGAACATGAGGAGAAAGGCAAAAAAAAAAAAGATCTCTCACCAAATCAGCTTAAACACTAACAGAGGCAGCAGGGGTTAATTTGGGCCGGATCCTGCCGGAACAAGATCCGGGAACTCCCTCACTTTGACTGGTTGTGTTCTGGCAACTGTTTGCTCGGATCCAGCAACTCAAATCTTCGCCCCTACCAGTCCAACGTCATCGTGCATTTTTATTTTGATTATTTAGTAAAAATACAACGGGAGGAGACGTTGCCCAGTCGGTGGAGTGGATGTTGCGGCTGCAGCAGGCGCACCAGCGCACGTACACGCTCCTGCCCAGCAGAGACGTCCACGTGTCCCGCGGGGTTGAAGTGTCTTCCTTGATATGGCAAGCCAAGTGGCCCATTAATAGCCAGACTTGTGGAAAATGTGGTTATTAATGGGCCACTTGGCTTGCCATACTTTACGCACAGCAGCCTCTCCAGACAGCTCTGAGTGCGCACAACTGCTGATGTGAACTCACACAAACGTTTCTGACATAACTAAAAAAAGATACAGTAAAAAAAATATATGAGAGAAATGTTTGTGTATTCACATTAATCACGTGTCAAAACCACGGCGCTAATTTGTCAAAGTAACACGTCGAAATGACGAAAAGACAGTTTAGTTTACTTTCATTAAATAAAGGATGGATGGATGGATGGATGAATGGATGACTGGATGATGGATGGATGACTGGTTGATGATAGATGACTGGATGGATGATGGATGGATGGATAGATGAATGCATGATGGATGGATGACTGGATGGATGATGGAGCGTGAACATCATGTGGGATAAAATAGTTCTGGTTTAGAAATGTTGGGAACGTTCTTCACACAGAGAATCAGAGTCTTGTTCAATTCAGTAAATTTATTTCTCTCAGTGAGGAGACAGTTGGACCACAGGAGACAGTTGGACC